GCTGATTCCAAATCTACCTTCCATATCTGCGACAACGTTATTTGCAAAAAGTTATGAGAGGTTGAAAATGTGAAGCTATTGGGGTTTTAATGCATAATTTGCTTTGAAATCCAACTTGAAAGTGCACGACTATCATGATATTGAGTGTACTGATTTCACGGAATGCTCACATTCAAAAGAAACACAAATAAGTCTTTCTTAACAGCTAAAAAGCAACTAAAGCTCTCTGGTAAAAGCTATGAGCAATGAAAAATCCAAATTTGGCAAATATATAGCGCCATTTCTCGAAAATTAGTTGTTCAAAAACGCTTATTTGTGTTTCTTTAGAATGTGAGCATTCCTGAAATCAGTACACTCAATATCATGCTAGTCATACACTTTCAAGTTGAATTTTGAAGCACATTACGCATTGAAACCCCAATAACTTTACATTTTCAACCGCTCATAACTTTTTGCAAATAACGTTGTCCCAGATATGGAAGGTAGATTTGGAATCAGCTTATCAAGGCGCATCTAATGATATGCGGTTCATTTCAAATCGCCACCTTAAGTTGGGATCGTTCCCTCGTAAGTAGTTGAATGTATGGTCTATTGACAGCAGGACCCGGCACCGATGGTTTGGGGTCAAACTGGACTTCGTTTTTTGGAGTTAGAAGCAACGGGGACATCTTTATGAGGTCCTGGAGGAAGCGCCAAAAAAACACGACAAACATGTCAGGTTTCACGAGTTGAACGTGTTCTTTCGCAAGCGCGCGAATTTCAAATGCAAGGCTCAAACAAACAAATGGCTTGTTTGCAGCGCACAAACAATCACATGGCTCCGAATTTGGGCTATGTGTATACAATATTAGTCCAAACTATGTTATGTAGAAAGTTCCCAAAATTTATGTGTCCTCATATCCGTTCTCGAATTTGTTGGTTTCTAGACCAACTACCAAACCAACTGGGTTGGTTCGGAGCATAAATCGGAGAGTTCACATAAGTTTTGGACCTTTTTGATTTGGACGATTAGAACGGTCAAAAATCTATCATATAGTGAAGAGAGCGGATCAAACCGTTGCCTCTCCCCTTTTTTGAGTCAAAAGTTCTACAATTCTTCGCGTTGACAGATATCGCGCTCCAATCACTTGCGGTGTCCTTTGAAATATGTGGCGAAAAATGCATCGCAGGATTGTTGAGGCTACAGATTTGGTTGGCCTAGGAGATTTTCAACATTCCCAGCATCAAAAGGTACTATACCCAATGGCAGACCCTTTAATCGACTCGAAATGTTTTTTTTGCTTTTTTGTTATATTACATAAATCAAAGTGCGCTTTTTTCGCTTTGTTGCTATTTTGGTTGAATTAGGGTTCCCCTACTGATTTTCACGTCAAGAGGGACTTCGTAAATTTTCGCGAAGTCATGGGGGACTTCGTTTTTTTAAAAGCCTCCAAACCAGCGCGTGCCGGGCCCTGATTGACAGTAAGAAATTTTTCGCTTCTTGCTAGCTAGCGGCACTTCAGTAATTCTTGCGATCAAACTCAAAATTCGTTCATAAAGGCCGTCATTGAGGTTCGGTTTTATGAGATTAGTCAAAAGATAGCTTCTGAGTAATTATATTGAAACGCAAATCTTTTTTATCTTTGGATACAAATCATAAATTTAGTTTTGGTTGATGATTTGAAGAGTTAACAAACTTCATCTGATTGACATAGGAATTCTCGCAACGACATGATATTTGGAAACATTTGAGTTTGTTGGAATAGTTTGGTGATTTACCCTTTTTCCATAATTTTTATAGCATTCAGAAAGAAACACTCATCTCAAACTTCATAAAATACACAAAACTTTTTCCACTCACCTGTTACCTTAGAAAAGGCTAAGGAACACATTCTTGAAGAATCGCAATCAAAAATGTGCAAAAAAGTCAAAAATGGGCTTACAAGGGAATGGTCAGAAATCGAAGTGGCCATTCCAGACAAGCTGCACACCATTAGATGCAGCATGAAGCGCTGACTCTAAATTTGTCTTCGTTATCTGCTTATCGCTTTTCTCGACGAAGCTATAAGCCATTAAAGACCATTATTTTGTTAAGAAATTATGCGTTAAATTGGAAATTTAGCCGTACAGAGCGACGTTCGTCTCAATGCTGGGCCAAAACATGCCGCTAGCTTACTTGAAATTTTTGAAGCCAGAAGCTGAGCTAAAAGCGCAACAATGTGCTCAATTTCGATGTTTTTATGTATGATTTTTTCACAATAAAACCGCTTGTAGCTTCGTCCACAGAAGCGGGAAGCAGATAAGGAAGACAGATTCGAAATCAGCGTTTTATACTGCATCGAATGATATACAGCTTCTCTGGTTTGGCCACTTCGACTTCTGACCATTCCCTTGTTAGTCCCAGCTCACCTTGCCGCTGGGAGTAAAATGGGTTTCAAGTCCATTTAAAATGGAGGTAAATCCCATTTTACCCCTTTCTAAATGGACTTTTCGCATGATTCTTTCGCAAGCGAGAGCTCAAGTAGGGTTGAATCATTTTTCATCACACCGCTTTGCCTCGTGGTTGCGATGAGATAAAATCTCTTGGATAACGCTAGCGAAAGCAGATTCCGACCAGTTTCTACCGCGAACGAATAAAATGGAGCTTGAAAGACCATTTTCCTCCATTATGGACTTTCGTGGATATTGTTCCTGAAATCACAGGAAAGCTGGAAAAAAAGAGACGGTCTACGTTGATCCTGTATGTTTGAAGGATGAAACATACAGCTTTCCTGAGTCAAAAAAGTCTCCGTTGAATGACCTTCCAAAGCCTAGCATTGAGAAAAGCTTTATATAACACCTCTGTTACCGCTTACCTTCTTTTCATCCCCGTTTGACATGTAAGCTTGCGTTAGCACTGATCTCAGGCCCAGTTACACCTTCACCTTTCCAGGTCAAAAACGGTCAAATTCCCTTCACCTGTGGCCGCTTAGCCTACCCTGGGCTCGCCTACCTACCCGTGGGTTCGCCTAGTGGATAGACTAACCCATGGTCAGTAATCACGAACGCCTCCGCCACTAGGTTAACTTACCCAGCAGCCTTACTCAATAGGTAGACTAACCCACGGTCGGTATTCAGGAACGCCCCTGCTGCGGGCGCCTCTGTTCACGCTGCTGACGTCAGTGCGTGGACATTGACGTCTATCAAAATTACGCTTTGGCGTCCTTACCGTGAGCATTCCTTACATTTTTGTATTTTTTCACAACTATATATGTACATCATTTCCACTACGTAATCACGGGCGTCTCCGCTGAGTTATCTAACTCAAAGCGTAAGTTTGCATTGTTACTATGCAAGTTAATAGGTATCAGACATATTTACTTGCAGTCGCGAATTATCTTGATACGTTTTGAGTGCTCCACCTCTTTTCCTTTGTTGTAAATAAGTTTAATTGAGTGAAACGTGCTTGAAGTTCGTAAGTGCGCTATCTAAGAATGAAGCCCCGAACCTCTTGAAATCATAAATTCTCATTCTCGCTCCATCTATTTTTTTGCAACGTCTGTTTGGAGTCCTCTTGAATAGAGAAAATCCTGATTTTTTTTTGGAAAATGTATGACGCCAGTATTTCCGTTTGTTTTTTTGGTGAGAAAGCAAATATGCCCTTTGCTGCAAAAACTTTTCTTCACTATTGCAAAAAAGGCTTTGATGTCTAGATAGGATTTAGTGGTTTTCTGGTATGACGTACTACTGCTCATAGCCATTGCAACTTCCTAGAATTATTTTAACATTGAAAAAACGGTCACATTCCTTTGTTATCCATTGCGATTCTCGTTGTGTGCTTGGGTAGTGCTTGGGTAAGGCGAACCCACGACAAGTGGGTACCGGAACCTACAAGTTCTGGGTAAGCTGTTTCGCGAATACCGGTATTGGGTAGGCTAACCCATCGAAGCTCGTTCGTAAATACCGGTATGGCGACATTTTTTGTGGGTTAGCTTACCCAGCGGTAGACTTAATCCACTGGGTTCGCTTAGCCAGCAGCTTCGTGACTACCGGTTTGGTGGGTTGAGCCTACCCACTGGGTAGACTAACCCATTGGGTAGCGTTGATGAATACGGCCACTGGAGCGGACCCCTGCTCTCCCTATCGCACCTATACTCCCGACTCAGACTTGTTTTGCAACTAAGAGAGGCCGTTTTGAAATAATCATTTCAATCTGCTTCATATAATACTATCTCATGTAAAAGGCCACTGCCACTTCCCTTGTGAGAAAAAAGTCAAAGTGGAAATAAAACAAAAAAGTTATACAGGGTGTCCCAAAAGTATGTATGCACTGTTTAATCGTTAATATCTCTCTTCTCAAGAAGTCTTTTGCCTTGCTTCAGGCACCGTTTTGTAGAGCTGGCTTCAACTTAGATTTGCAGTGTAGAACGAATCATCCATCTCTCTTCATTACTGTAAGATTAGAGTAGAAACTTGAAACATATGGTGTTAATGTGGAAAAAGCTGCATTTTCAAAATTTTTCAAAAAAATGTGAAAACTCATATAATAGGGTTTTTATGGACGCAGAGCTCAATACTCAACTATTACAAGATTGGAAAGCTTTCGAGCGGTGTAACCGCACTTTTTAGGAACATTGAAAAAATGGCCGCTACCTCTTACCCGGCATAACTCTTCAATGAAGCATCATAAAAAGTTGCCAACTTTACAGCTAGAATCAGCAATTCTAATTAGCCTAGCGTAAAAGTTTTCAATCTGTTTTGTTTCCTTTCTGAGGCAAAATATGGCCTTTCATTTCTCAAAACCCTCTTTGAAGTTTCTACCGTAATCCCACAGTAATTAAGAAAGATGGGTGATTCGTTCTTTACTGCAAATCTAAGTTGAAGCCAGCTCTACAAAACGGTACCCGAAGTAAGGCAAAGGACTTCTTGGGAAGAGAGATATTAACGATCAAACAGTGCATACATACTTTTGGTACACCCTGTATACAGTGTAAACGTTATTATTATGTCTAAATTTTTTTACTATAATTTATTTTTATTAGAAAACCTCAAGGATATGGGTCCGACCAAACAGCGTGTTTCTATGGTCTTCCTTTTGACATCACTCGGTTGTACAGCTGGCAGAAGTGAGGTTTTGACTTTATTATAGCCCCGATTCGATTTTTCTTTAGATACTGTGGTCTCCCATCGATGTACTTAGTGTAAAATTTTGAACCAGCTCTATTCAGTTAGAAAACAACAAATGGTACATCTGAATCAAAAGTTACATGATAATTTCTAAATTTTTCAGCACCGATGTTTGAAAAGTGCCAAACAAGTGACAAATGTGAGATAGGGACAGAATGTCTATACAACGTCTGCCTTCCACGTGCAGATCCAGTACCAGTGTTTGTCTACGATACACCAGACCAGCAAGCTTCTCCGCATCCTATACAGACTACACATATTCCCGTGAGTCAGAAAAAAGTACACCAATATAATTTACCACCTTTAAACGACATAGATGACAAAATGCCAAAATTATGTTAAGATAACTTTGAAATCGATATATCGAAGTTATCCTTTGCGTTCCGATACGACATTTCCGTCTCCTCTGCGCCAGATAGAGCAGCCTCATTTGGGATCGATGTTCCTCCAACACGATGCGCAACCTCCTTCCACCATACATAACGTGGTTGTTCAAGCACCACCTGGTACTGCTAATCCTTTGAAGACAGATTCTGTTCGCTGTCCACCTGAGCTGTCGCCAAGGTATGTAGGGAATATTTTTGTGCTCAAGTAAAATGAATTTTTCCGAGTTTAGATACGTTTTTGGACACTGCACATGTGTGCCTATCAAGGGACAAACTAACTCACCTCAAAGATGTACGCCTTTCGGTCATTTTCGATCTCTTCCGAGCTCAAAACCTTCCCCTACTCATGTTGAATATTATGAGAAATTTTACGCATAACTGGTACCAACTGCATACCCAGTTCCGTTATCCCCTGTTACACTATGATGAGCTTCACACTCCCTGTGTCTTTGAAACACTTCCACGTCCTTCTATATGCCGTTTTCCTGACCCCTATATATCCGTAATCAGCGTGCGCACTTATCCCTCCATACCAACTTCCAGCTCCTCCGGCCAAACTCTGCAATTCGATAAATGCAATGAGCTTTTCTCAAATCAATATTATTCTCTTTATAACCATTAACTTTTACCTCTATGTGTCAACAGCATCCCGTGGCTGAACCTTTGCAAAAATCGATACAATTGATAGAGATAAGCGATACTAACAACTGATACTGTACTCGTTCGGCTGCTCATTTACTCTTCCCACCTGTGCCAACTCCCAGCCTTGTAGCTCATAGTTTGCAAAAAAATGATACCATCGATTTCGATTACTAACTATAGTAAATTACGATATCCGCCCTGAAGTGCACAGTCTGTGTTGATCACGTGCTCCCTTTTGCCGTAACAACTATGCATCTGCAGCGCTTGAGCGCGCAAAAAACTTCCATCGATGAGACAAATTAGAATGTTCAAGCGGCATGTTCGCGATCCGGCACGTAGGTAGCATTGCGCTCGAGTAGATCGGAAAGGGAGCACATCCTTCACACAGAATGTAGGTATGGAAAGTTTGGCCGGTTGGTTTAGAAATGAAATTTTCTGCTTGAAACATCCGTACACATACATAAAACATCTGTCAGTGGCGTACCCAGAATTTCCGTCCGGGGGGGGGGGGGGTAGGGGAAGGGATGAAGATGCGCAGCGTTGGCCATGCACTCCGAAGAAAACTTTTGGTATGCCTCCCAAAATTTTCGCGGGCCCGTAACTCCGAAATCTCAGAAATTTTTTCATAGAGCTAAAATGAATCCTTAAAAAAATTTCAAAAATTTTCTGATTGTCAACAAGTATGAGAAAGTCACTTGCAAATTTTTATAACTCATGTAAGTAACTTTCAAATTTTTCGCGACCCATTCTCGGCTTATTCCCCTCGGTACGCCACTGCATACATACCAGCGGCGGATGGCGCCCTCCTCCCCCCCCCTCCCCGGAGGATGGGTCTCGAAATTTTGGAAAGTTACTTACATGGACCACAAAAATGTGCAAGTGACTTGTTTACATTTGTATATGATTGAAATAGATCTTAAAATTTGACAGTTCAAATTATCTCTATGTAGAAAATTTTCTGGCGTGGCTGCCGCCATGTCCCTTTTTTTCTAGATTTTGGAGTTATGGAACTGCAAAAGTTTTGAGAAGCATTCCAAGAATCTTTTCGGAGTGCGTGGTTAACGCCGCGCACCTTTGTTTGGAAAGTTTTTTGTCTCTCCCCCCCCCCCCCCGGGACGGAAATCCTGGGACCGCTACTGATGCATAAATATGTAGTTACTTTTCCGTTATCCGGACCCATTTTTTCAAGAGGTTCTCATATAATACGCTATTCAGTTCAAGAACATTGTTTCTATTTTACGAGGACTGTCTTCTGCCACGTGTCAGGGAAAAATTGACACGTTTTGTTCCAACATGTTTTTTTTAAATTCATTTCCGGTAAAGTAGTATTCTTTGGTCACCCAAAAGCTGTCCAACTGTTTTCTATACAAGCAAAATAATTTAGAACTTATATTAAAACATCTTACTGCTTTCGGCAATGATTCAAAAATGTCTTTCTCTTTAAAGCCTGTTCGCCATGCGAGTCTAGTCAAGAAAGACTACGAATGATGGCTTGGAGTACCTTACTAATGCTTGTTTCGCTGCTTAGGTGGTGGAAATGTAGTGCAGTCCTCTACTCTAAGCAAGTCCAATCTTTTCATTAATAACAGGATAACGTTATTTTTTTATGATGTTCATTCTTGAAATTGTTTCATCGAAAATGGGATCATTATTGGTTGAAAAAGAAATTGAACTTACGTCACTAAGTAAGTCGCCAAGGACTCAAGCTTGGTACGAATTTCATCAGTATTCTTTTTTGAGCGCAGTAATCTAGTACATTTTCATCAATGTTAGATTGGTCGGAATGTGGTGAGTGACATTCAGCATTCGATTTGACTGAGCATTGTCGCAGACATCCACGTTATGCATCCATTGATGGCGATGAAATGTCGTGATGTGTGCAGTATCGTGCGAGTTTTCATGTCAAGGATGACATAGACATGAACTGCACGTGCATTTAGGCAGGTAAATAGAAGTCCCCAATATTATTCTGTCATCTTATCCTTAGTCCGATAGGAGAGCGGACCGAAAATGTTCTTTCCCACATTTTCGAAAGGATAATGTAGTTTCACCACTTTTTCTTAATCAGCATAGGAAATAGTGGAAGTACAAAAGGTTTGACGCAATATTTCTTGCAGTGAAAGCAATCATTGGAGATTACTTTCTTGACGGCTGAGCGCCCATTGGAGATACGTACCTTTTCTCGTAGTTCCGTTAGAGTATGGTTAACACCGCAATGGTTATTGATCGTATGCGTGTGAAGGATGAAAAGCGCGGTGATTCTGTTTTTGGTGAGAAAAGAATGATTTTCGCTTTGTTATGCAGTACTGCTCCAGACGTCCCAAAGTGTTTTGCTGCTCTTCTCGATTTTGTTACAAGAAAGCGTAGGACGAAAACGATGGTTAGCAGTTACTTCCAAGTGCTAAAGGATGTCTCAACAAATGGCGGCAAGCATTTCTTCTCTTCTGTTGTTGTGAGTTGCGCAATGTTGGTTGGTAATGACACTAAAGAGGTTTGGGTCTCTGATGTTTTGAGGCGCTGTTGTCCTGGTGAAGAAGTTGTTTTCTTTAGCAATCCTTTAAGGGGTGAGAACCAATCTGATTTATCTTAAGTAAGAATTTTCGGACCATGCTACCACAGTGATGATTGTGATAGTTTGGTTATAGCGGCTCCCCGAGAAGCGATATCCGCCGGGTTTCCAATCTGTGAAGATATATCTTACAATTAGTATGACGACGGGAGTCAGCTCTTGGATGGTTTTTGATTCTGTTGCATACAAAAACAGGCAGTTCTTTCCGACTTTGTGTCTAATTTAGAGCAATCGCGCTGTCGGACCATAAGAACTTTCGTTTGTAGACATCTAACTGCTTGGCAACAAAGTTGAGTAAATTAGTTCCTATGACAAAAACGGATAGTTCCAGTCGTGTTATAGTAACCGACTGACGCGGAGGAGCTAGGCGCGATTTTGACATGATGAAGGATGCTTTATGTGGAGGCTTTGCGAAGACTTGAACAAGATATGCTGTTGCACAAAAGGCGTTTTTCGAAGCGTCGGTGAATACATGAAGATCGAACTGCATGGTTGAATTGTCGCAGTTTTCGAGTAGTCTGCGTTTTATTTTCAGTGTAAGTGACGTATATTGATTATTGAGTTCTCTCCATTCTTCGACTTTTTCTCCTGGTAATGGATGGTCCCATTTGAGTTCTACCTTCCACAGAGAAGGAATAGTTTTCCAAGGAATGTGACAGAAGTGATGAAGCCTAGTGGGTCGTAGATGCTGGCTATTTCTTTCAGGAATTTTCTTTTGGTCGGTAATTCCTTCTGCAGGTGTTTAGGAGAGAGTGATTTTATTGTGGAATTATCGCAGTGGATTTCAAGCAGCTTCTGAACTGCTGCGATTTGGCTTTTTTCTTTGGTCATGAAGAGTTCGTTGAGTTCCAAAGAGTTACTGACGTATGTTCGTAGATTCATTTTTGCTTGAACGAAAAGTTTTCTAGAGTCGTTGTAGTAAGTCATACCTTCTTCTATGCTTGCGACTCCATGGAATACGTTATCCACGTACGTGTTTCTTAGGGGAGGACTTGCAGGAGGAACCAAAGGCCTAGCCGGCAGTGTCCGCAGGAGATAATTAGAGGCGCGAGCACTGCGCCGGAGATTTGGCCAGGATCCAAGAAAACTTGGCAGGAATCCATAAATGTTCGTCAGAAAATTTACCTCGTAACTTCGCTGGGGAAAACGCTAGAGAGATAAATGGGGCAGTTTTGTAATCTGCGTTTTCAGCCGCATTTATAGGAGTAATAAAAGCGGATTTCACTTTTCATTTACATTCAATCTTTGAATATGATTATCCCCAGAAAAACATTAGCTACGTCGAAATACTTATACTCAAGTTTCAAAATTTTTAAGAATTATTGAATGTCAAGAAACCGAAGTCGTCAGATCGTGACGCTGAAAATGGGTAGTAGAAAATTGAAGATTAAGAAATTGTTCACGAAATCTTGCTCGAATTCAGATCATGAACTATCTGAGAATCATAATGGTAAATCTACAACTTACAGAAAATTTTACATCAATGTGATGCAAACTCTCAATTTCTGAAAAATTTCCAATTTGGTTCAAACACAATTTTGCAATCATTTGATTTATCAATTCAAGGTTTCATCTTGGACTGCTGACTTTAAGTTTACTTTCCCTTCCATTTTCCAACTTGAATTGTGAAAATTCTTTATGGCGAGTTTTTCGAATGACAGTTATTTCATTAAAGGCAGTGTCCACGCAGATTTGGAGCTGCTCAGTTCCAACAGTTTACTGAAGCGGGCTCCTCATGCAGACCATAGCCCGGTTTCGAGTGCAAAATATTGCTTGTGAAGCGAGTAAACCGCTTCACAAGTCTGAACAGATACGCCCCTTTATTTGTACCGAAGCAGGGAATCCGACTGGGACGCCGCCGTTGCGACGCTGTCATTGGCTGCAACCACGCGTCCCGGCACGATTACTTGTTTCGGTACGGACAAGGGGGCGTCTCTGTTCAGACTTCTGAAGCGGTTTACTCGCTTCACAAGCAATATTTTGCACTCGAAACTGGACTATGGTCTGTATGAGGAGTCCGCTTCAATAAAATGTTGGAACTGAG